AAAAGTAACTAAGTAACGTAATTAGTTACTTTTTCAGGAAGTAACTCAATATTGTAATGCATTACTTTTAAAAGTAACTTTCCCCAACACTGCCTGTGACTACAACTACCATCATTTGACTCCCCCCCCCCCCATTTATTGATTGAAAGCTCTCCTGTCCCTTTGTTGAGAGAAATCGAGAGTAAGATGTTACTTTAGTTCTAGAATAAATGTGAACATGCATTAATTCATCTCACTAAATAACAAAAAAAAATCAGATTAAGTTTTCCTCAAAATTAATAAAAACAGTTAAAAGCAACTCAGAATATGACTCAAAGCTGCAATAATTAAATATGTTAATACAAATATCCTTTATGTATTTAATGCCATTTTATTAACCAATTTGCTGTTGACCGTCGGTGATCCAATTCAAACATGCCAATAAGTAAAAATTACACAAGATAAACTAAAATTTCTTCTTCTTTTTTATTGCTGAAGAGTGTTGAACTTTCTTCTTCTGCGTTCTACTGTACAGACGTGAATTTACATTTCCTTCAGCCTGAGGCTCTTGGTGTGAAAGGGCTTTTACATTTGCCAAAGATAGAACTTTTTTTATTAAAAGCAAGCAAGCAAGCCCAGCCCAGATTTAAAAAGTAACGCAAAAGTAACGTAAGGCATTATTTTCAATCAAAAGTAACTAAGTAACGTAATTAGTTACTTTTTCAGGAAGTAACTCAATATTGTAATGCATTACTTTTAAAAGTAACTTTCCCCAACACTGCCTGTGACTACAACTACCATCATTTGAATTGTCATAAAATTATGAAATTATCATACATTATGGGATTTTTTTTCATTATTGATCGTATATCGTACAGAGGTCAAAATTATCGTACAAATACGATTACGTCTGGCAACACTGATACTGATAATTGAGGGCCAATCATATGAAAGATTCATTTAGACCACTTCAAATGAAAGTTCGGGCATTTATGAGGGTGGGTAGTTGGGCACTAGCACGTCACTGACACTTTTGTCCTTTTCGTATACACTATATTAACCTTTGAGAATAATTTATAACAGCCAAATTACTTTGTTTTGGGACAGTCTAATAAGGACTTTTTAATTATATTATTCATAGTCACACAATGAATGTTCAAATTTGCTATATTAATTTTACTCATGTTTAGAACGCCAAAGATTTAACATAAAAAGAATTCATATTGCATAAAACATTTTAGTTTTCACGTCATCCAGCCAGTCACAGTCATCGTTCTTGAGGTTAGACAGCCAATCAGAATGTTTCTTGTACACACTCCTCTGTCAAACATGGCGGCGTGCACAAGTAGGACGAGAGAAATGATGGGCTTGCTACGAATTTTAAGACATTTCCCTCAGAACGAACGTATGTTACTGTGCTTTATGTTCCCCATTACCAAGTCCATATTAGATGGTAATAACAGAAAAGACCACTAATGAGACGATCATTAAAACAATCATCTGCTCAAGTGAATAACTCTGCGTTTACAGCCCGTTGTAGTGAATAAGTTAACTATTACTGATACCTAACATGATTTGTACACATACACAGTATTTATTTTATTCCTAGGACTTCTGTCGACGTCTATACTGAGGCACGCTGCAGCGTCAGATGGACCTCCAAAATTCACTCCTCCAACCAAACCAGTTATAGACAAAACACAGAAAGAAGCATCTCTGCGATGGCTTGTGTGTTGTTGAGTAAATGCATATGATTGTGCTTTAGTTTACACCTGCCAGCTTCTTGAGGTATAACAGGTTCATTAGAAAAGGTTTATTGGAACGTGTCGCTCAATCAGCATATAACATGTATAAATGACATGTAGTTTGCAACATTTGTAGAAATGTGAATTATTGTTAATAATAATTTTAGCAAGACTGTAACTGTTAAATGAATAATGAAAGAAATAGTATAAAAACTAGAATTTACTGTAGTCGTTTTGAGCTATTTGCAAATAATATTTTTATTTTAAAATATGCAAACATTCACTTTTATTTGTATGCCTAATATGTAGAAAATGACATGAACCATTTAAAAGGTAGCCTGAATTTTCCAAATTTGGACAAAGTTTGCATCACTGGATGTTACTGTCAGCTGTTTAATATTTCTATCATAAAACTTTTATTAGTAACATGTTTCATAATTCAGTTGTTTTGCAAAATAAATGTCTGATTAGGTTTTTGAGTCCAGAGTTCATCCCTCCTCGTCAGCGCACAAACCCTGTGAAATTTTCAGTAGAACGGAAAGACATGATACAAAGACGGAAAGTTCTCAACATTCCAGAGTTTTACGTTGGTAAGAAATACTGGTGATTGTAACACACTGCAAGACTCCTCGGTTTTATGGTGATTTGTGATTGAAAAATGTCCCTTTCTGTTCCTCCTTAAATATTCTCTTTATTGTTTCATGTAGGCAGTATTTTAGCAGTGACCATGACTGATCCTCATGTGAACGGGAACTTGAATCGCTTTGTTGGAATCTGCATTCAGCGCTCTGGAAAAGGATTGGGTGCTACTTTTATACCTAGGAATGTTGTTGATGGCCAAGGTAAAAAAAAAAAAAAAAACTTGTAACATTTCAAAACTTTTTTTTTGATTCGTTGCATTATCTGTTCGGTAGTGCTGCAACAACTACACATTTTTTTTTATAATACAATTATTAAAAGACATAATTGACAGATTAATTGATTATCAACATAATCCTCAGTTGCAACCCTACTGTTCTGATTTGTACTGGTTTCACTTTAATCATAGTATCCACTATGCATGGAATCTAATGCTTTTTAATTTTGTTGCCATTTTGTTATCAAATGCATAGTAATAAGTTTTCGTTCACTCTAGGAGTGGAGATATGCTATGAATTGTACAATCCACATATGCGTAAGATTGAAGTGTTGAAGCTGGAGAAGAGACTGGACGACAATCTCATGTACTTGAGAGATGCTCTTCCTGAGTACAGCTCCTTCAACTTTGACATGCAACCTGTCCATTATGAGATAACAGGAGACATTCCGGTCAGTCCGGTAAGGCGTTCTAGTTAAACATTTCTCATCTGTAACATTCTGTAACGGTAAATTCAGCCACTACATTAAAAAAGTTTCCTGTCGGTTTCTCTTTCTCTTGTAGTTAAAAGTAAAAATGAAGCCAAAACCATGGTCTAAACGTTGGGAGCGCCCCAAGTTTAACATTAAGGGACCCTGGAGATGATGGAGCATGCTCAAAAGTGGGCAGAACCGTGGAGGCCATGCGATATGCTGAAGGAGTATGACACATTCAGTCTAGAGGAGCAGATCTTCAAGGAGGTACAGGGAAAATCTCAGAACGTGAACAGTCCATAGAAACCACTTCCAGCCTGAACAGAGACAATCCCTTTGAAGGGACATGAGGCTGAGGTGACACCTTTAAAGATGCTGAAAAGATCTGACTTTGGTGAGACATGCTGATGTGGTTCTGGTTCTGGGGTTTGCCTCAAAATGGATTCTGGAGATACATTCAGATGACTACATATGATACATCAGAACTTTTCATGTGTGTGTATTTTACATGCTTCTCACCAGCTCAACCACTGATGCTTATCTACAAATAACCATCCTAAATTAAAATTATATCAATAATTTATTTGCTGATGTTTATCGTCTTATATTTGTGCCATTAGTGTCTGCAAATGCAGTTGTGTACGCAGTGATACTGCTGCCTTGCAATTAGTCACTGTTAGCAATAGAGGGCAGAAGAGAACACTCCAAAAAATGGTAATTGATATCTGAATAGCAAATAAAATATCCTAAATAATGATACCTTAATTCTATATTCAAAAGTAATGAAATTGATTAGAAGTTATTTCATGTCATCTAATTTTGCATTTTTTTGCAGTCTGAAAATAAATTACGCTACTATTCAAAGTTTGGGATTACTAAGATTTTTTTAAGAGATTAAGAGACTTCAAATAAATGCTGTTTTTTTTTTTTTTTTTTAGCTTTTCTATTCATCAAAGAATCACAAAAAATCATTACATTTACATTTAGTCATTTAGCAGACGCTTTTATCCAAAGCGACTTACAAATGACGACAATTGAAGCAATCAAAATCAACAAGAGCAATGATATGCAAGTGCTATGACAAGTCTCAGCTTAATGCAGTACACTTATTATTACATTACATATATTAAAATAGGAACCTTTTATAATATTTCTTAAAATTAAAGTTTTTACCATTTCTTGTCTTTTTTTAAATCAAATGAATGGAACCTTAGTGGAACATTTAAGCTTTTCAATAATGTAAATGAAAAGGAGGAGGCAGTTTCGGGCTGTTTTCTACATGGAATGGAATTCATGGAATAATTGAGAAACTGAGACTTAGATTATACAAGCACAGCTGTGAATATAACCCAATTATTTATATGTATAGGTTAAAGACTATTAAAGAGTAACACGCATATTCATTTACTCTATGGTACAGAGTAAATGAATGTCTATTTCCTCTTTAATAGTCTAGTAGTTAATAAACGTTTAATATTCATAGTTTAATACCTGAGTAAAACAACTTAAACCAGCATGATAAGATGGCTTTAGAGTGGTCCTGGGCACTTTTCAACCCAAAGCTAACCTAACTAATCTCAGGCTGGGACAGCAGCAGACGAATTTAGGCTGGTTTAGTATGTTTTTCAGTGGAGTGCTTTAATACAAAATTCGCAACGTCTTGAAATACAGTAGCTGTTCAGTAAACATCTCACTAAACTCCACTTAAACAAAGGTGTGCACAGATTTTCATATCAGTGACTTCTAATGTCCAGACGTGCTATTTCAGTTCAGACCCTGTGTTCGAAATGTATAATCCACAGCGTGAACTTGTCGCATTATTTTGGTGACATGGTATTTTGTCCTAAATCTCGTGCACGTCTGTGCGCTCGAAGCTCCGCCCATCCTGCTGTTGTCAGTGACGTCAGCGCTATCACTTGTGGATACTCGTGCAACGACGCCGCAGTCCGCGGTCTATTCTGCAGTGAGCAGGTGCAGCCGGTCCTTCACCTGGATACCAAAACAACACGTCTCCCGTTATCCGAGGATATTTTCGGTTACGCTGGCTCTGTTTGTATGAAATCACAATAACACTGTGTCGTTCTCTTTCGCGATATGCACGGTAAGCGTTTATCATTTGAAGTTCCCTATAGGTTTGCTACTCTATTGTGATGCTTGCAAAAAGGTTGCCGTCTATTGTTAATATTCTATATGTTCAATGTTTAATAAGCATTTTTTTAGACGCTTAATCATTTTGTCCGAGAGAAAAGAGCGCAGTTTCGGAACAAAAGCCCGTAACGTGTTCGAGAAGGAGCGGAATCGCTGTCATTGATTTCAATCACATAACGGACAAACTTGTTGTGCAGGTTGTGAACTTATACAGCAACTCAATCCGGTTTAAGCTCTATAATAAGCTGAAACATAAGAGCTGGATCATTGTAAGTGTTTCCCAGCGGGACGCTGAAAGTGTCCTCAGAGATGCAACACACCTGTCCCACTAGTGCACCTGCTTCCAGGATACCGGTGTCTACAATGACCCTTATCATCCAGCCTCATTCCATTTAGAAAATGCACTTTTAGTTAGATTTGCTAAATTAACGCTTAGTTCATGCAGAGTTCATGTTACATGGATGTTAGTAATAAATCGCAAAATAATTACATATTATAATTACATAGGGATTAACCTACATATTAATTTTTACTCAGGATTAAAGTTATATTTTTTAACTTATGCTTGGCACATGTTGTGGAGTTAAAACACAGTTTGGTTGTGAAACAACAAACAGAAAAGATTGATGATCAAATTTTTCACGAGTAATTAAAAAATGAGATATTTTCACAGTCAATTAAAAATATTTTAACATTAGGCTAACTAAATTTGTCACTGTTGCCAGTACTTTATGGTATTTTTTGTTATTATGTAGGTAGACAGATATATTTTTTATTTGTTTATTTAATTGATTTACTTATTTTTGCTTTTTCCTGTTTTTAATGTCTCATCCAGATATTCAGGATTGGCTGATTTGTAAAATATTACATTTGGTCCCTAAATCAGCCCGTGGAAAACAATACTGTTTGCCCCTAATATGAATATTGTGGGGTTTGTGTCATGTGAAGACATGTATTTAAGATGTTAAGATCTAAAAGCTAATTAAAATTAATTCTTATTTTGTACTACATATCCCAACCAGCCCTGAAACTAATGTAAATAGTTTGATAGTTTTAATGGGGTCCTATTAGTTAATGCATTAATTAACAATGAGCAATACATTTATTTTAGTTTTTGTTGGTAATGTTAGTTCATGCTATCTCAGCTCCTTTAAATAATATTAAAATATACAGCTTTTAATTTCTATAATGTATTAGTAAATGTTGAACTTAACTTTAACTAAGATTAATAAATGCTTTAGAAAGATTTTTCATTGTTGGTATATGTTAACTAATGTATTGTTAACAAAATAGAACCCTGTTGTAAAAGGATCAAGAGGGCCAACACAACTTTGTGACACCTATAGTTGTGAGTCAGAAAATAAATTTTGGTTTCATCATGTCGTTCAATAGTATTACTCAGAACTTACTCACTAGATCACCCTGTAATGTGAAGTGTGACCCAGGCTATTTCCTTTGAAGTTTTTTAGATTCACAGACTGTTGTAGAAGTAGGTTATGTAGTGTGTGCCAACTGCCATATATTCTCGTAACTCTCTCTCTCCAAGGCTAGCGCTGTTAATCAAAGCATAGAGGCTACAATCTGTTTCGGCTCTTGCATCCTCTCAGTATGTGGGGCATGGGCCAGTCGCAGTAGTAAATAACCTGCGTGATGAATGGATGAGTCTGGTCAGGGGAAATATGCTGACCATCATTTCTTTTCTCTTATCGGTACGGTGATAAACTCACCACTGTGAAATACGTCAAGATGGCTACATTTATCATCGTCGGTTGTTGTTCATTTGCTGACAAACTTGGCTTTGTATGTAATGATCTTGGGTGGCAATCAGTTATTTTGTTTTAAAAGCATCAGTGGTCTGGAATAATGCTGTGTTGTTTAAATGTTTGCTTCGATTCTCTCTGAGATTTTTGAGGCCTAATCTTTGTGTAAATGTCAGCGGAATTTATACCTTATTGCGATTGTTCTTGGAAAACGTAAATCCTTTGCAAGTCAGAATTGTGCTGACATCACATGCATATGCACTATGCAGACAAGGCCTTTATCTAAAGGATCTATGCAGATGTCATCATTTCCTGTAAGATTAATAGTGGTAATGTTCATGTGTACAAGATGTATCATATTGCTGTGTACACTATCGTTTGGGGTCAGTAAGATTTTTTTGTTTGTTTGTTTTAAAAACAATTAACACTTTTATTCAGCAAGGATGCAGTTCTTTTGATCGTGTTGTTCACCAAAGAATCCTGATAAAAATGTATCTGTTTCCACAAAAATATTAAGCAGAATATTAGACTGATTTCTGAAGGATCATGTGACACTGAAAACTGGATTAATGGCTGCTGAAAATTCAGCTTTGCATCACAGGAATAAATTACATTTTGAAATGTATTCAAATAGAACACAGTTATTTTGAAATTATATTTCCACAATATTACTGTGTTTTCTGCATTTTGATCAAATAAGTGCAGCCTTAGAAAGCATAAGAGACTGCATTCAAAACCATTAAAAAAATCTTACTGATCCCAAACTTTTGAATTAGAGTGTATGTAATGTGTATGTATGAATAACTGAGAATGCACTGATGAAAATGAATTAAAATATTGTGAATTTGACTTGACATCATCTCAGGCAGAGATTTGCTGGCAGTTTGAGGTAAGTGCCTAATATAAAGTGTGTTTGTGGATGGTTGATGTGACATGCTTTCTATTTGAGTTTCATATCTCATTCGCAAGATTTTTCACTCTTGAATGCCAACCACCCATGTTCTGTGCGAGTACTGGTGTGTGTGCGAATGTCCCAGTGGGAACAGGGTGGAGTGCCCCAGAAATATGCCTTATATGTCACACACACACACACACAAACACACAGAGGATTGCTTCCTAGTAGAGGATGTTGGCTGCCCTAAATACCGATAGTAGTGTGTGTGTGTGTGAGAGAGAGTTTACCAGAGAGATATAAAGAGGAGAGAAAGGGATAAAGAAAGGGAATGAAATGGTGTGTTATGACAATGTGTCCTCAAAACACTTTTTAATATAATCAAATCTGCGAGCGTCAAATTCTCTTGCATCATCCAGAACACCACAATCTCGTACTGTGAATATCAATCGAGTTACTGAGTTACAGTTACAAAGCTTCACTACTGTTCTTGTTCACCTTCAAATAAAAAAGTTTCTCTAAGCTTGTTGTGCACCTCTGTTAAGGAAAAAAAAGATATTCTGCGTGGAATAAGAATAATAGACGTGCCTCTCTGAACTTAAGAAAGATGGATAGTGGACTTGAGTAAAATGAAGTGCAGTAGAGAAGACAAGTGGTTCCTTGAACATGCATTTTCAAGAGAAAGTGGCCCCCGCCTTCTGTGCTACTGTTTATACAGACACGCATGCTGTGAACTATGAGAAAAAGCATGTTAAAGGGAACTGAAGCACAAGCGTTATTTGTGTAACTCCACTTTAGATGTGTGTTGGTGATAAGAGATGAGAGGTATAAGATCTGTTGCTGCAGTTCACCTGCCTGAATTACAATGAATAAAAAAGTGTACAGAAATGCACTTGGAGTACTTGCGAGTGTCATGTTTAGACAAATTCCCTTCCAGTCCGTTAATTTAATCTGACAGTCGTCTTGATAACAATATTTGGCTGCTCTTTTTTATTTTTCAATAAAACACTGTACTAAACATCTCTGTATGAACTCGTTTTTGTCTCAAGACTTCTGTTGTTACCGCTATCAGTAGAGTTTTGTGTAGGTGGTACATTATTTTCAAAAAGGATAGCGCTTTAACATTTTAGCTCCACTCACCAGACATTTCATTTTAGATCTGCCACAACCAATGTAATAAAATCTATTTCAGGTCAAATTTAGCAGAGTTTTAGTGATAATCACTGGACATTTAACTTTAAAAGTGTCACAAAATGAACAAGAACCATCGCAATATAATTTAGCAAAAATGTTTTTCCAGTGAGCCTGGGTTGCAAATTTGAGCTAGTGGGTTCCCACTGGTATTTTTAACATGGTTTTAGAAAAGCTTTTATCAGTATTATTATTATGTATTTGAGTAAAATATGGTCTGTACAACATGAATTACACACAGTAATATGTGTTGTTTAAAGATTTGCTAACCAGTCGCTAAATAAATATTTTGAGCTGGTGTTTTTGACGAATCATACATGTACAATAGCAAAATCTTAACGTTTTAAAACACACAGTGTTTTCAAATTTCATGGTTAAGGTATGCGTTTTGAGTGAAATTAGTGTTGTAAAACTGTCTTCAAGCATTATTAACCACAGAGATTAAAGCCATGAGGGAAACCCATGGCGAATTAGCCTCCCATTAGCGAATTAGCCCCAAATTGACATTACAAATTAAGTGGTGTACAAGTATGCAGTTTCCATCTAATTTAATGGGGATAAAAACAGAAATCTTCCAAATGAAAAGATTTAGTTTCAACAACGGCAATAAAAGTCAGCAAGAAAATAGAACAGTGGTATAGTAAAATTAGTACTCATAGAATTAGCATTCATATAGCTGCCTCACTTTTCACCTGTGGATATGCTGCTGTTTATTTTGCCAGTGTCTGGAGATAAATATGAATCTGCTAATCATACAGATATAATATAGAGATTTGCCGCTCTGTTTTATGTTGTGTTGGTGTGTTGGTGTTTTGCTGTTCACTTTCACCTCTGCAGCATCATTCAGTACAACTCTCTGAATGGCTAGTGTGGTCTCTGCTGGCATGTTTCATATGCTTGTTTCCTGTGTGGACAGAGGAGTCCTTATTCCCCTTCTTTGCACAAAGCATGCTGGGTAGTACACTCAGAACAGACATGTGCTGTGTGAGTAGAGTGATATGTTGAATGCTGATTTGCTAGTGCCGCAGGTGTCCATCACTAACATTTCAAGGGACATTTGTATGTGGCTGTGCAAGATGAAATGAAGTAGAAGGACGGGACAGACGGTTC